AAAGTATATACTATACTATTACTTGGGCCCTCTGGGAGGGTTGGCTAAGCGTTGAGAGTTGGGTTTAGGGTTTAGGGTCTTGGGGCTTGTAAGGCTTCGGGGGTTTACGGTTGAGGGTTCAGGGTTTACGGTTTAGGGTTTTTTGTATCCGTTTCGGGTTTGGGTGGACTCGGTGTCCACTAGAAGCCTAAAATCAAGATAGTGTATCAATCAGAAGTCTGCAACAAGCAAATACGGAGGTAGCAGTTGAGGATTTCCAAAATGCTGGAAAATCAACATTCTGGCACCGCGTCCATGGAACTGAATAACACGCGGGTTTTGGGATTGTTCTTATGGCGTTCGACGAGTGCTTGCCGGGCTCGTTTTGGGATTCTTCCATGTCAGCCAGAAAGCATCTTACGAATAAATGACATCGGCTTCACGTCGATGTTACATTCTATAACAACGGCAACGACACTATCTCATGGCGATTACAGCGATTTCGACAGGCACCGCCGAAATTCTCTGCAAGAGGCATGACACAGGCGTTGTAATAACATGGCCATCGCAAGTATTGCAGCAAGCCGCCGCAGTCGTGCAGCACGCCCGCGATGGTGGCCAGTGCATCCCGGGCCAGCTGCCGTGCGGCTTCTGCCAAACCTGAAAACATCAAAGCCTGAACCCTAACTCCTAAACCCCTCATACAGGGGCCTTAATATAATAGGGCTTTGGGGTATATTTCACTATAATCATATTCAGGAACCGCCAACATAGGTAATGATTTAGGCCCCTACATTAAACAACTCCTAAAGCGTCACAACTTTGCATCCCAAACCAGCTCCCCACCTGCCTGAAAATCCGAAACCCTCACGCCTGTAAGCCCGAGACTTCCCGACAACCCTAAATCACAGAGCCGGAAAACACTTATTATTACTATCTCATGTATTACTACTGTTGTTAATATTAAGACTGCAGAAAACTTAGCCTTTAACCTACAACCGGGAGTTTTCAGATTTCTGCAAGCTAGACAACCAGGGGCCCAGGTCGTTGCGCCCACTTACGCTGGGCTGGGCTACCGTCGCCTGGCTCTGAGAGAGGTTACCTTGTTGCATAGGCAGCTGTGCCAGTAGGGTAACATGTGCAAGCTTTCGATCTGCAGTAGGTGGCCTCGGTTAGATTCCACGACCAGCGAAAAATCGTTCCTGATCTCTTTGCTAGATCATTGAACAAAATTCCGCAACCCCTTCACCATAAATCCTAGACCCCTAAACCCAAAGCCCAAAACATGCACCCTAAACCCAAATAAATCTTTGCTAGAGCCCCAAGAGCAGACCTTGTGTAAGGACAGGACAGGTAAGGGTTTCGGGTTTGCAATGTCGGAAACTGGTATGTGACACTCGAGGGTTTGTTGTTGAAAAGGATCCATAGTAAGAAGCAAAGGTGTCTGAATCAGTTTCCTACAGTAGTTAGGGTTCTTCTGATCTTCTCAAGCCGTACCTGGTTACCTTGAGCCCAAAGCTTTATGTAGTTGCGCCAAGTAGCGAAGAGCGTCCGCCCGCGCCGCGGGGCTACTGCTGCCGTCCAGCTCCACCTGATACCTTGCAAAGCAAGCTCCGGCAACCTTGAAGCCCATAACTAATCCCCTACTAAACCATAACCCTCCGTTTAGAATATACTGTAGGGAGTTGTAAATCATGAACCGAAGCCCCAGCGTCCCAAAACTCTATAAAGATTATCCAGCTTACACCCTTGACGACCCGCAAATGCCCAAAATGGTAGGTAGGGAGTTGGTAAATATTTTCTTCCTGACAGAAAACCCAACGAAACGATGAAGACTAGGGAACAAAAAGGACTCAGAAGGGGACCACTACCGATCAAAGCAATCACAATAAACTACCCACGGGCCCCATAGTAGTTCCTTTTTGGGATTACCTGAAAGGATTCTACATATGAACCCCCAAAAGGAACTACTTTAGGGCCTATGGGTAGGTATCGTGCCAGGCAATGCTCTGTTCTGAGGCATGTCACACCGAGAACATCGTGGTTGAAAGTTTATACTTATCAATTAGTAAACTGGCACCCTTACTAACCTAAACCCTGAACCTTATAAACCTTGCAACCTATAAACCCTATACCCTCGGCCCTAGACCCTAAACCCTAGGGCTGAAAACCTCTGCACACCTGGTCCCTGAATCCCAGAAGCCGCAAGGCAGACGTTGCCGGCCACAGCCCCGCCAACTCCTAGTGTCGGTTTTGGATTTGGGGTTAGGGGCTTTGGGGGTCTGTAGGGTTTAGGGGTTTCGGGATTCAGGGTTTGGGACGTAGGGATTCAGGGTTTGGGGTTTAGGGTCTAGGGATTTAGGGTCTAGGGTTATTAGGGTTTAGGTTTTGGGAAGAGGTCATGGCAAGTGGCAGCGCCCCTCTTGCAACCATCACAGCACTGACCATGACTGGGTTTAGTGTTTAAGGTTCAGGGTTACTTCCTGAAACCTCGACAACAATGAAGCCGCCCAGGCCGCGAGAATCAAAAAGGTGCCAAGCAACAGCTGACAATGTGTTTAGGCTTTACCTTAAGAACCCCAAACTTACTTTTTTGTAGGCTCTTATTATAAACCCTAATATGGGATTTATAAGGACCCTACCAAAAGAGTAGGTTTTGGGTTCTTAAGGTATAGGGTTTAACACGAATAGGCTTGGAACGACCTGGTGAACAAACCGACCGAACAGGATGCTCGGCCCAAAAACCAACAGTCTTGACCAAGACCGCTAGACCCTTAACCCTACAACCCTAAACCCTCGATCCTAAACTCTAAACTTTCAACCCGGTTCAGAGTTTAGGATTAGGAGTTTAAGGTTTAGGGCTTAGGCTTCAGAGGTTTTTCAGGCTTAGGATTTACAGCTTTGGGTTTAGGTTAGAAGACCGATATCACCAGAAGCCTGCCGATCCAAATCCGTAGAGTCTTAGGCTTTTGACTCTCGCAAGCCTAACTAGTTGGAACATACGGTTTAGGGTTTAGGATTTCCGGAGCTCCCTCTGCAAGGCATCACAACCCAGCAACACATCAATTGCACGACGTATCCAAGAGTAGCAAAGCCAAACCCTGCAAGAATTACAACCACTTGGCTGACTTCTGAACCCCTCCTCAAATCAAAGTTCAACTTTGAGCCTACTTCTTAGAGTTCAAACAGAAACCCAACACGTCAAAGGTCCTAAGAGCGAACCAGAAGAATGCCAAGAAAGCCAGCCCCATGAACTCTGAATCTGTGCTTCTTGTCGTCCGGGTCTAGACCATAAACCCTAAACCCTAAACCCTTTACAACCCTAAACGAAGAATGCCAAGAACCATCCGTCAGACCATCCGACTCGTCCTGCCGAAGGAAATTGCTCCAGTTGGCCGCAAAGGCATCGCGGAAGGCGTGCTGCGTATGCCCGACGAAGAAGGCCTGCATTCTGTGTCATAGTATCGGTCGCTAAAAAGTACAGCAACCTATATATCTATGCATATTATGGAATACTATAGTAACTATAGTTCTATGGTATTGTTATCCTTTTTTCTATGGTTATTATGGAATACTATAGTTATATGGTATGATTATCCTAAATTTTTTGATGGGCCGAGCATGGCCAGCCGCGTGTTGGGCCGCACGAAATCCTTCTCAGTCCATGCCAGTGAACCCTAAACCCGAAACCCTAAAGACCCTAAACCCTAAAGCCCTAAACCCTAAATCCCCTAAAACCCTAAACCCTAAAGCCCTAAACCCTAAACCCCGAAACCCTAAAGACCCTAATTCATGTCAGGTGTCATTCAGGATGCACGGTGTGCGGCTTTAGGGTTCAGGGTTCGGTGCACATGTAAGGGTGTAAGTTCATAGTACGTCATAGCATCTCATAGTACATCAGAGTATATTATAGTAGATTAGGGTGTCGGGCTAAGGGCTTAGCGCTGCATGACTACCACCACCAACAAACCGAAACTCCAATGCCACACCTCAAACCCAATGATGTCTAAAAAAGCCAAACCCCTAAACCCTAAACCCTAAACCCTAAACCCTAAACCCTAAACCCAAAACCCTAAAGCCCTAAACCCTAAACCCCGAAACCCCAAAGACCCTAATTCAGACCCTCAGAAGCCTCATCAGGGTCGTCAAACCGCACCCCCTCCTCCAGGGCAAACTCCTGGTCGTTGCGTTCATGCGTGGGGAGCTTTGTCGGGGGCTGTTTAGGGTTTAGGGTTTAGGGTTTAGGGTTTAGGGGAGCTTTGTCGGGGGCCGTTTAGGGTATAGCGGGTTGAGGGTCTACATAATTTGTGTTAGGCAAGCCTGTTGAACCTTTGCACTCTGCTAAGGGTTTTGGGTGAGGGTCGGTAGAGTTTATGGTTACCAGCTGTCGCTAACACGACAACTTCCACAACCACCAACATGGGGGGTGCACACACGTCTGTTGCTTAGGGTTGAAGGTTCAGTGTCTAGGTGTTTGTTTAATGTAGGGGCCCCAGTAATTAGAATAGGGCTTTGGGGTATACTATACTATAATAATACTTACCCCCAAAACAGTATGGGTAATTATTTAGGCCCCCCATACTCTGCTTCAGGGTCCAGGGTTTAGGACGCTTTGTCCTGTCAACTGCAACATTTTACGTTCTGCTCTCTCAGCACAACACGGAGAAGTCAGCTTGCCCCTACAACACTACATGTGCCGTAGCTACCTTGTTTCGAACCGCCACAAAAAGACCGGACTTCCCAGTAACAAAACAAAACCATATCCTCCTGAACCCTGAAAAAACACAAATACCGCAAACGGCCCTAAGGACGATGCTTTTCAAGGATCCCTAAACCCTAAACCCTAAACCCAAAGCCCTAAACCCTAAACCCCTAAAGCCCTAAACCCACATGGCGGTTTCTTAGCATACTAAACCCTAAACCCTATCAAGGCTCCTGCCAGCCGTGAATCTGCTTCCTGGAGCTGTGACCGGCTTCTGGTAGGGCTTCGGGGGTTTAGGTTTCCGGGTTTTTCGGGTTTTTCAAGTTGTTGCTGAGGTTTCGGGTTTGGGGTACATAGGGTTTAGGGGTTCAGGGTTGACAGTTTAGGTTGTGAGGGTTGAGGGTATAAGGGTACGGATATCAGAATTAGCTGCGGCTGTTTCACACCTCTTGGACTCCTGGCGACCAGCAGCCGAGCTTTATGGTTGACACCTCTAGTTTGCCTTGACCCCCAAGAATCTACATTTTTGAGAACCTATAAAAGGTAGTCATAATGAGAAACCCAGGCAGGTTATATAGGTTTGAGGTAGAGTGCTTCAGGGCTTAAGGCATCGCGCTCTAGCATGTAGACCCAACAGTAAACAGAGTGCAGCAGCTTTGTAATAAGAACCCAGTAAGGACAACCGCTTAACCAGCCATATCCTACCCAGAAAGGCGCATTTCTGGTTGCTATTGTAGTCAAAAGGCCCACCTCAGTGACAAAGCTAGTTAATCCCTGCAGCCCCTGCGTCCCAAACCCGCTCGAACACACATCAACGACTTTGTGTTCACCTTAACCTGACGAAACTCAAGCCGAAATTTGGAATACAGAAACATAGGTTATGATCGGCCTAAGCCCTAAACCCAAAACCCTAAACCCTATAGACCCTAAACCCTAAACCCTAAACCCTAAACTCTAAACTCTAAACCGGTTAAGTTAGGTTGTGCACCCCTGAGGCTGGCCCTGAGGCTTTCGAACTTCAGTTTCATAGGGACTACTATAGGGGCTTTGATAATTAGAGTTGGGTTTGGGGCTCCTTTATAGTCTAACTATAAAAACAACTAAAAATATTAATAGTATAGTCTAACTATAACAAAACAACTAAAAATCTTAATAGTATAGTCTAACTGCGCTGAACTTAGTGGCATGCGGGGCTCGTTCCAACATAGGGACCTCCCTGATGATGTCATGTTCTAGATTCTTCCCAAACGGCATCTCTCGGCTTTTCGGTTTTGGGGATTCGGCTTTGGTTTAGGGTTTAGGGTTTAGGGTTTAGGGTTTAGCAAAACTCCAAATTTAACACTGAATGCCCGCAAGCAAAGTCTCAGCCCCCGGCAGAATGTCATCGCTCGCACGGCTGTTCCCAGGCCTTAGCGAGTTGCTCGCACTGCTGCCACGATTATACTTACTGGCAAGCGCAGAAGTCGCTGCCATTCCAGGAGAGGTCAATCGACATCATAGGGCGCCCCTTGCGTCAATCGACTTTATAGTGCATTTTTGGGTTGTCGAGCATGCATATACATATTTTTTTTGCGAGAAAAAATCTGAGGAAATCGAAAACGTTCCGGCCGAAAACAACAACAGGAGAAGATATGACTCGAGAACAGATTCTCAAGTTTCAAAAAAGAAACTCGCGACATGCAAAAAAACATAACATGATCCGCCCGAATTAAGACTTTGGCAGAAAACATGCATGCCATGTGCTTTAGATTCGTGACAGAACAGGAAACGGCGACTCTTTTGCTGTCCTCCTCAGCTGGGGCATGCGTGCTGGACATGTCTGACCGGTTCTAATAGAGGATAATTCAGGTTTTAAAATTGAG